GCCAACGAGGCAGGCAGTAATAGGTGTGTGACCATACAATATTATAATACAATCGAGCTGGTCTGATGTTTGTACTGGACGATGACTGATGGAACCATGAACTGCCTGCTTGTATACATGTCGAGTTTGGGCTCTGTTCGATCCATGTGTACGGTGCATCGACACTTAGCAGTACTGTCCTAGCACCTAACGCACCTCGATTTTGCGCCAAAATAAACGAAACTACCCAAGGGCATGGAGTTAAAAAATATATTTAAAATTGTTATCACACTCATCAATTTTATGCACACGTGTAATACGTAAAGCACTAACAGTACAGACCAATGTAATATCTAGTTCAGTAATTGTCTCGTTGGTCAAATCAATGATACGTGGCGTACGTGCGACGCGAGCGACACGTGCGTCGCACGCACGGAGTGCACCACACCGCCACGGTCGCCAACTAATTCAACTTTATAACAAGCTATTTGTTTGCGAAGACGCGATCGAAATGAAAACAAGACGACCGACGAACCGCAATGAACGGCAACAGACGACTATACAGCTCGACGACACCACGTCAACTCTTTTCATTAGACGCTGGTGGCTTCCGTAGAGCTGCGCAGCACATCACAGCTCTCTTAGGAATACCGAGTGTGCCAGAGAGTCCGACCATCCGACACCAGGCGATCGGTAAAGTTACAACAGTTATCAGAAAAATATTAAAGATAAATCTAAATCATGTTTCAAGTTGTAGAGATTCATTTCTTGTCCCCGTGTCAATAAAATGTTGTTGAGACGCAAGCGCAACACTTCTTTCCTCTAAGGACACTTACTTACTGATCAGAGATCATAGGATAATAAAAGAAGTGACTGAAGAATTGACTGCACGGTTGCCGCGCAACGTGTCGTGTGAAGCAAGTGTGTGTTTGTGTGTTCCACAGATTGTTGTTCCGAGTCTGGGTGTCATGAGTATGTGAAATTGTACTATGTTTGTAAACGTGCCCACGACACAGGAGACAATCCTAATGTGGCACAATGTACATCTATCGATAAATAATTAAATCCAAACGCCATATTCAATTCGATTTTGCCAACTTTCTTTTTATTCTTTCCCCTCAACATTACTTCGTTGTGAATATAAAATATGGTGAACAGTGAGTAAAGTTCCCTATGTGAAGGAGGATCCCTCGTCCAGGCGAGGTGTTCGTGCCTGGCGGGCTTTCTGCCCAACAGTTTTTCGTTGGGATTTTCTATCCGTGTCAATTTGCATGTAAACTTCACATGTGTGAGTTAGGATTTATGTTGTCGTCTGTTGATTTACTCGTGGATCGTCTATGTGCGACTTCTCTTAAATTGTGTTTTATTATTCACTAGTTAGCTGTTGTCCGCGACTTCGTCGGCGTAGAAAAATGACTTCTGGCAGAGATTGTTGTGTTGTTTTGAATGTTCTACGGTAACAAATGTCATCAGCAGTGATCGGGATTTTTTTTTAAGGGTGAAAATCATCATCGAATGACTGCTCCCGCCTGGGTGAGGCAGGAGGGAGGGTCAGACTCTTACTGACTAAAAACCACCCCGTTCCTTCTCCTGCACGTCGAGCCGGAGCCCCGGTTACTCGTTAGGTTCTCCTACAGTTTCTAGAACAGAGTCAAAAATCGAAGACTTCCTTACAACTAAAAATTTTATTACCGGTAAATTTACTAGAACTTTAATTAGGTACGTGAATTTTACCATGTTAATAATATTAAAATTGTGAATACCTTTCGTTATATAACGACTGCTTAAAAAAAGGAGCGTTTTCTTAATTCACGTGATCTGTATTTCGTTAGTCCACCATAACTCCTGGTCTACCAAATGAATTTAGGAGCCGTGGTTGTCTCTTAACCTAGCAGTTAAGTTTAAGGAGCGACATAGGCTAAGGCTTGGAAAATAATGAAACAAAAAAGTTATATTCTAAAATTCATATTCGACGCGGACCAAGTCGCGGGCAACAGCTAGTATGTAAAAGAATATAATATACATTTAATATAAAACTTACTTTCTCATTAATGTAGGTATTGTTTATTGTAAGAGACTTAAATACAGAGGAAAGAAGGTTCGTTTCGATTTTCCGCAGTTACTTTATTTTGAGATGATTGGATGTAACAATATTTAAAAGATAATGTTAATATGAATATTTAATGACTGTTGAATGATATGTAAAACAATTAGTGCAAACTAGTGGAATAGAGGTATATCTATCAAAATGCGTTAGCCGTTTACTGGACGTCCGTACTCGTAGCACGATTGTAAGAACTGGCGAAAAAGATGACAATACAAAACTGGGCCATTGTTCACCCGTGCCGAGTCCGAGGACACGGAGCCTACCAACCACACATCATCAACAAGCCTGCCCATCAATACATTGTCGCGACATTAGGCAACTGTGTAGTAACCACTCTGTGGTTTATTTAATTACCGCTGAGCTTTGTAATCAGCCTAAGTCGTGCGTTAATCACGTTAAATGGAGCTCGCTCGATCACACGCGCCCCGTAATGGCGCCTGTACCTACTGATGCCGCGCTAGTACAAGCTTGCATTATGTATTTGTTTGACAACGCGCCGCAGTTAATTGGTTCAGTGTGTAATTGGATGTGTTCCAATATGTTGACTAAATTAATTCTCCATTACAATGCTGTACTGGTTGGAATCGATTTGTTCTGCAGTTTCTGTACAGCGAGATCTGATTGTTCCGGCTTCTTTGTGTATTCTATATGTAGATTCACGTAATAATATTATGCTCAATATTTGAATCTTTCATTGTTTGTGAGTAATAACATAACATCACGCCTTTTATCCCTCGGGAGGTAAGCAGAGTTGCACATTTCGGCACTTAATGCTACTATGCAATGTAACACCCACTTTTCATTATTTATGTTATGAGTCCCATGTAATAGGGGGTGAGCCTATTGTTATATATCGGACACATTTCTAGGCTACGTGGTACTACTGAGAATTTCTTAAAAAGACCCAGTAATACTTTACACGACCCGGGAGTCAAACCCTAGACCCCTTACCCGGCACTCGCACTTGCGACCACTCGGCCAACGAGGCAGCGTGAGTAATAATAAAGTTATATCCGGGCGCAGTGCAGCCTACCGGCAGCTAACTGTATGTATGTATGTATGTATATTAAAATAATCATATTGTTTTCTGTTGTATAATGTTAAGTATATGGCTCTGTAGAATTAAAATGTGTTACTATAAGAATTATATTTAGAACTCCTCTCGTCTGCGATACAGGATTGTCCTAGTGCAGGCATTTAACATTGTGAGGACAATTGTACGTATTTACCTACGATATGTTTTGAATTTTGCATTTTTTGAATATTGAATAAATTTATTTATTTATTATTTATTTATTAACTATACCAACACTACTCGAAATTAATAATTTCAATATTAACAATAAACAAGACACGCAACGCAATTAGCTTCCGGAAATGTATTAGGTATGGAGGGCGGGATGGTTGACATATGTATGTCCGGCATGTCGCAGTCCCGGAGAGCCGCCAGACATAGCCTGGCTGTAGGCACACTG